AAACAACAAGGACGTATGATTCACTGTGTTACACTGTGTCTGACTGTGTCCCTTGCTGGAAAGCACCCACTGCCTTAGGAAAACTCGGTCCCTCTTGAGTAGAGATCCGCCGACCAATCAGGTGCCCGCCGCGCAAGGGATCTTGCAAATCTACAATATTTTACGACTAGGCGCGTTCCTGTGAGATCTATCCATAGTAGCCTCAGAAGCTACTACTTTCCACGTTTGGTCGCCCGTTCCAACCAGGTAGTCCACGAATCGCGAGCGTACTTCGGTGCAAATCTCGCAACTTCCGACTGGCCGTCCGATAGTGAGCGTCAGGGAACAATGGGCGCATTGGTCGAGGCGGTTGGATGCATCGAGGTGTAGGGAGTGGCGGTCGGTGAGATTATACTCCGCGCGCGCGTGAGGCAACTACTCCACGCTAAGACAACCTTTACAGAGGATTTCTTTACTAATACTGTTCAAATAAACGCGTGACCTCGCGCAAAATGAGTCATTGATCCAAGCACGATACGCGTCGCTGTCTACCCCCCTGTTACGCGACTCTATCGTTACAATGCGAGGGCACATAACAAATATTAATTAACGCACTATATCACGAGCTGAGCCAATCGGTGATGCCTAAATAATTAGTTGACGCGGCGGTTGCAGACGGCGTTCTTGCGGCACGAATACTTGCGGCGCGAGTTATACGCGAGCTGATGATGCGCCACGTGGTAATACAATGGAGTGACGCCACGGCATCGAACATGGCGCCGCGCTGAAACAGCCACGTGGAATCACACAAATCTCTTACCTGCGTAGGGAGGCGCGAATGATAACGCAATGCAGCAATCACTGGGGTCTTCGGCAGTGGGTGGAATCCGGTCCTCCTCTCGTGCGGCAGTTTTGCGGTTTCCTTGCGTCTTATCCACTCCCGGCAATTGGAATAAGGGACAGAGGATCTGGATTTCAATAACACGTGTTACATATAATGTTTATTAACCAACGATGGGTTGCACAATAGATTAGCACGATTATTTCTATAAAATTATTACAAATCGCGAAAATGTTCGGTTGAAACCCGAGATATTAAATTTAGAGAGATGCGAGTTGGGTAACACGTGGTTAAGAATTATCTTAGGCACAATATTATTAGTATAATTTGATTACGCTAATACAATACGCTAAACACAAAGAAAGTATAAGGATCAGTGCATGCAGGATGCTTATACGAAGTATACAGGGCGTTAATGGGACTCTGAGAGGAAAATTTAAAGGAAATGAGGGATGAGTCGGATTACGAATCTTAGAAAAATGGATAGTTCAGTGGGAGCCGTTAACGCTTAGGTCCTTACATAGTCGAGTCCAGAAACAGAGAGAGCGTGGAAGACCGAGGTCCCAAAGGTTTAAGCGTCCCACGCCCCCACTCTGTATGCTCTTGCGCAACGGGAAGAGTGGCGCCGCCTTAAGCCTTATGTCCACGATGCTAGAAATCGGTCCGAGAACTCGGATGAAGAAAGAATTGACCAATCACAATGGTCATGTGATCAAATTGGTCAAATGTGATTTGTTAATTTTTTCTCTGTCCGAAATCTTGGACCGATTTCTAGCATCGTGGACACAAGGCTTTAAGGAATTCTCCGCGCGATGACCCGAGGTCGCTTCATATGGAAGCGGCGTTACGTCGTGTCTCAGAGTACCAATCAGAGTACTTATTTGGAAAGAAAAATGTATGGCTAGGTTTCCATCGAACTTAACGTTGAGTGGACGTAACAGTATCTATTTCATTTTAAGTGCAAAAATGCATTTGAGGATTTTATGCAACGCGAACAGATCTCGTATTGTGGCCGTAGTTAGAAACAAATATGAAAAAAAGACCCGTTCTTCTTGTTTGAACTTTTGCACCAGTTCATCTTTCTTATTCTTCTTTTCTCCTGAGAGAAAAGGAAGAAAGATGAACTGGTGCAAAAATTGAGCCAAAAGGAACAGACCTAAAGAAAGCAGGCGTTTCATAAGCGGAAATTTATAGCGGAACTGAATAGCGCGGACCAATCATAACTCTGCAGTCATTTGGGTGAGATTTCATTTGTGTATTTTTGGCCGTGTTCCAAATTTACTGCCAGCACTGAAAACACTACAGTTTACGTTACGTGCGCTACAGATTTTCAGTACTGGCAGTCAATTTTGGAATACAGTTAATTGCTAGATTCATCCTGGATCCAATGTGCGTCGTACGACGCTCTGCAACCAATCAAAAAACAAGATTTTGCTTCGTATCTCCGATACGAAATAAAATTCTGCTGTCTGATTGGTTGCAAAACGTCGTAAAACGCACGTCGGATCCAGGGAGAATCCAGCAAGAGAGGTCCTCAGAACTCTCTATCCTATAGCCAAATTTTTTCATGCATGTATCAAACCTCGTAGGGTAATATTCGCATTTTTGTGATTCTCTTTCGTACTATTGAGTGAATTAGACAAGGACAGATAATCAACTTGAATCAACTTGATTATTCGTCCTTGTCTAACCCACGTATATAATAGCATTGAAAAGAACCACAAAAACGTGGACATTACCCTATGAGGTTTGGTATCTAAACGAAAAAAGATGTCCACTTTCAAGTTTCTTTCTGCTGCTTTTCAGCGTTTCATGAAATGGCACTTTAAAGGCAGCAGCACACACTTTTGCATAACGCATAACGCATAGTGCATAAACGAATCAACTAATCAGAATCTTTTCTTTCCTCCCATTCCGTAGAAAAGAAGAATTTCAATTGGTTGATTCCTTTATGCACTATGCATTATGCGTTATGCAAGAGTCTGTGCTGCGGCCTTCATCTGGTAGAATCTAGATTTTTCCATGGTCCATCGTGGTTAACAATTAACGGT